CAGTAAGGAAATCGTTCCTAGGATCAGCTTTGCTGATATCCCATCCTTTCAACTGAATCTAGATAGCTTCCTTGATATCCTTCAACACATCACCCACCAATCTAGCTTTGCCCCAAAAAAATCTAATAGTTCTCTCATTCCAAATGCCAACTCCCTTTAAAGCAAGCTAAACACCCTCACATAGAGATATTTCCCTTTAAAGCAGTGAACAGCCCATGCCAACTCCCTATCCCAACAACTAACCCTGCGAGTTACACCACACAAAGTAAGAATATCACCCCACAATTCCCTCACAAAACCACAATCAAAGACCAAGTTATCCCTAGTCTTAGCCTCAGCACCACAAAACACACACTTATCATTCTCAATGCTTAATCTCATTCTCAAAAGTCTTACTTGGGTAGGAAGCCTATTTAAAATAACCATCCACACAATGATATTGTGTTTGGGAATACGTCCTGGAAACCAAACCAGGCTATGCCATGGAACCTTTGGAACTTTAACACGTAAATCCTCCCAAATCGGCCATGTTTTAAGATCACTACCTGAACAATAAATAGATGAGAAATAACAGGCTTTAGTTTCAAAATGCTCTTAAAACTCCAACTGGAATTAATATGAATAACCATCTGCCAAAAATCTGCATTCCTGATTACGTATGAATGAATCCAAGCCACCCAGAGGGAACTTCACTAGCCAAAATGCTTATAATTAACTGCACAATACAATCTCTATTCCAGTCGCCAATATCTTTTACACCCAGCCCTCATTCAGATCTTAATAAACAGACATGTCTCTAGTTGACTCGAGCACCCCTAGCAGTCAAATTAGAACCCTTCCAGAAAAAATGAGAGCATAATTGTTCGATCTTCCTAATTACCAATTGAGGCAAAATTAATTGGCTACACCAGTAATTAGTTATACTGAATAAAACAGCTCGAACAAGTTGCAATCTGCCAACAAAACTAAGATGACGATTAGCCCATAAATTCAACTTTAACTTTATCTTTTCAATAAGACTTTGGCAATCCTTTTCAAGAAGTTTTCTAGTCACCAATGGAACACCCAGATATCTGATAGGGAGATTTCCCAACTTAAAACTAGTAAACTCCTTTATAGCAATGCACTGATTAACAGAGACACCAACCATGAATATCTCACATTTACTAGCATTTAATCTCAAACTCGACATGAATAAAATATATCTAAAATGGATTGCACCCTAATAATAGAATCAATAGTACCCTTGCAAAAAATGAGCAAATCATTAGCAAAACATATATGCGTGAGACCAATCTTCATAGTTAGGATGGAATTTAAAAAGCCCCTTTGCAATAGCCACATTAAGCAGACTAGAAAGAATGTTCATAGCAAGAACAAAAATATAAGGCGAGAGAGAATCCCCTTGTCTTATACCACGAGCACCCCTAAACTAACCAACTAGACTACCAATAAACACCACATAAACCTGGGATTTGTAAAGCAAACCAAATCCATCCAATGAATTTCTCAGGCAACCCCAAAGCAAGCAAAATGACACCCACAAACTCCCAATTAAGAGAATCAAAAGCTTTTTGCAAATCAATTTTTAAGGCACGCCTCGGGGAAATATTATTCCTAGCATAACCCCATACAATCTCTTGAGCAAGTAAAGTGTTGTCTACTATACTCCGCCCTTTCACAAAAGCAGTCTGATTCATGGAGATCATACCAGGAAATACAATAGACAATCGACTCACTAAAATTCTTGTAACAGTCTTATAAATCACAGAGCAACAAGATATAGGCCTAAAATCCTTAACCATACTCGGGTTAGGAACCTTAGGCATAAGAACTACAGTCGTTGCATTAAAAGTAGAGATAATAGAAGAATCGGCAAAACAAAGCCTGATGGCAGTCTTAAAATCATCACCCACTTTAGGTTAAGCTCTTTTGAAAAATAGAGTTATAACCATCATGTCTAGGAGACTTGTTATTCCCCTACCCCTAAATGGCCTCTTTAATCTCAACATCAGAAATATCCATGCATAAAGCATCAACAACACCCATAGGCAAGGAATAACGAAGAATGTCTTCTAGCATCACAACCTTGCACGTCTAGATCAACCACACCCAACTAATTTCTAAAGAAATCAACCACCTCATTAGACATGCCATCAAAAGAATCAAGTCTAGTACCATAATTATCATAGAGAACCCGAATAGTGTTATATTTCCTTTTACTAGCCACCATATAGTAAAAAAACGAGTCTTTGATCACCATCTCTAATCCAATTCACCTTTTTTTGCTTATAGAAAAACAACTCTGTATCTTCAAGAATTTTCAAGTCACATTGCACTTGCAACTCAACATCAATACTGCTACCAGCAATATCTGAATCCAAATTAGCCAACTCCTCTCTTTTACTTAACCTGACCCAAAATATCACTAAATTGAGCCCTATTAAGCTCCTTAAGACAGCTCTTCAATCTTTTAAGCTTTTGAAATAACACTTAAGTCGGATTACCTATAGTCGGGGCCTGCCAAGACTCCTCAACAACAAACATAAACTCAAGATGCAACATCCAGAAATTAAAGAATTTAAACGGCTTAGGTCTAGCCACAAGAGCTTCTTTGTGCAACCAGACTAAAGCAGGGCAATGATCTAAGTCACCTAGGGCTTGGAACTCTACAACTGAATCAGGAAATGCTCCAATCCAATTCGAATTCACAAGAACACGATCTAATTTATGAGCCAAATAAGACACTTGCTGCTTGTTCAACCAAGTAAAAAGAGGATGAGTAAACAGATGATCAAAAAGACATAGATCCTCCACACAACTTTGAAAATCATGAATATCAGCATTTACACCAACACCAACAGGGACCGAACTTTCAGCAGAATTCAAGTTGACATTGAAGTCTCCCCCAATCAACCAAGGCAAAATATCCACCACACTTTCCACAGAACGCAACTGATGCCAAAGCTTCCTACGAGCACAACCCTTATTAGAACCATACACCGCAATGATCCAAACATCCTTTCCACCAAAAAAGCCTTTGATAGAAACACTTTGGTCATACACAAAACAAGCAGAAAAGCTCAAACCCTTCTGCCATAAGACCCAAATATGACCATTTACAACATGACTATAATTGCAACAAAATTCCCAATCACTAAACCTATTATTCAAAATCTCCCCTGATTTGCCCTCCTTAACCCTTGTTTCAAGAAGACACAAGACATTTATTTGACAACTAACAGCCCAACATAGCACCCTAGCCTATTTAAGATGATTATTAAATACCTTAACATTCCAAAAACAAACTATTAAATCCCCTAACATTCCAAAAACAAACTAACATGACAAAACAATAGAGGAAGATGCACCCCCAATACCCAGGCTACCATCCAGCTTTTTAACTTTATCAACATGCTCATTCTTCTTCAATTTCATATCTTGGACCAATTTTGCCACTCCAAGAGAAGAGCCTCTATGCTTTCTACCAGAACTATCAGTATGCATCACCACCAAACTATAAGGATCGACAGAATTAAAAACCTCAAACTTATTCGTCGATCCACCCAAAACAACTTTACAACCATATTTAGCAGGTCTCTCTCCATCTCCTATGAGGAGGATTACTTCCTTGCTCAGGATTCGAAGTGACCACCTCAACAAAATCATGACCAGCCACCCCACCAGAACAACCCACATCCCCACCAGAGCAAACCACTACAGCAGAAACATCTACTACAATAGTAGAAACATATTCATTACTTAGAACATCTTGCACAACCTCACAACCACTAGCAGGAGCACCCAGATTGACCTCCTTCACAACACCCTTAACCCTCCAGACTTGTTCAACCTTTTTCCCCTGAGGACAATACTTCCCTATATGGCCAAATCAACCACATCAATACAGAAAACATGCATCCAAGGCACAATAACCTTAATTCGAACCACTGATCCATCACACAAAAGAATATCAACATGATCCAGGATCTTAGAACCTGCAAAAACCTCAATGCAAATGTGAGCATATTCAAGTCGCTCTCGTGTAGTTGTGATCGAGTCCATATGAAGAGGCCTACCTAAGGCACTTGCAATGTAACTAAGTCATTTATTCGAAATAACTCCAAATGAACATTATACAATTGAATCTAGACTGGAATTCGAACCAAATCAAAATGTAACTCCTTCAAATTTGGCTCCCACTTCCTTATGAAAATTGGTGTATGCTGAACATGCCAAGGACAATTCTTTAATGCCCAGTCCCGAGCAATTGAATTGACAAATGAAAAAACAAACAAATTTGAACCAGCTAAACTGACCTTAACCGGAGAAGACTTACCCCACATTAGCTCAATAATCTTCTGAAGAGATCCAAAATTCGGAGCCAAGCCAATGAATTGCCCAACCAACGCATATCTCCACTCTGAAATCCCTTCCTCAAACATAGATTGTGGTGGCTTCACCACAATAGAACCTTCAACCTCCGACGGAGGAAAAAAAATAAGCTCCTGCTCATTCCCCTCCGCAAACAACTTCCTCCAATCAACAACTACCTCACCAGACATAGCCTAGCAAAAATCCCCAAGAAAATCACACTAGAAATCAACAGAAAAAATGCAAAGAAAGAATAAAAAATGACATCGCCTTCAATCGCTATTAGCCCAGCTAATAAACCGAGAGAGAAGACTTAACGTGCACCATTTTTCTAATTTAATTTAAATATTTTAATATTAAAAAACAGTTTTTATCTTATAAAAAAATTAATTTTAAAAAATATAACCTGTATAAAATTAGAAGTTTCGAACGGCTCGAGGCACGTTGGTTTACGGTATTTTTTACCGTCTCTAATTGAGGTTATAATATTCAGTAACTTCAGAATTTTATTAATTTTTATTTTGAAATTTTCATTATTATCCTGAATAAAACACGTGTCTACAACCAGACAAAACAAGGGCGATTCCATAAATTCACTCATTTTGTAATAAGCCCCAGGGAAAACCCTCTGATCAGTAGCTTCGTTTCTCCCTCGTTGCCGGTTGCCCAGTCCAAAACACACAAGCAAACCTATCCATTGTTATCGCCGCCACTGAAAAAGTTGTCAAATAAAAGCAATTTGAGCTAATGGATCCTCAATCTCTATCGTCTAACGTGTCAACTTCTCACAAAATCTCATCTGGTTACTCTTTTCTTTTTAACTATCTTCTAAATCTGAATTGTTTTGTTATTTGTGTTTTTTCGTTTCTATTTCGATTCTAATTTATCAACGATAAGTTCAGATACTTTAAGAGTACTCAAATCAGGAAATTTTGTTATCTTTTGACTATTTGTTTTAATTTTCATTCTGGGTAAGTTCCTATTTGATCAATGATAAATTTGAATCCTCTAAGAGAACCCAGATCAGGGAACCTTGTTCTCTTCTTAAAATGTGTTAATTTTTCATAAAATCTATTTGGTTTTTATGACTTTTTAAGCTGTTTGTTGTTTTGCTAGTTTTGAAACAAATGTTATTGTTTTGCAGATGGATTGAAATATAAGAAATGTGATTTTCCGAAAGAAGAGAATAGGTTGTTGGATTCAGTTCGCGCAAGAGAGGAGAATCCATTTGATATTGTTCGTGTTTTTTATGGTAATCCCGATCGATAATTACTCATATTTTCTTTGGTTGTTGTTCCCAGTCTCTTTTAATGCTTGAGATTCATCAATGTGTGCTACTGTTAGAACTTCGTCTTAAAGCAAACTGTAATTGGTGCTCTTTCAGACACGTGTTGTAATTTATAATTAGGAAAGTAAGGAAAAGTTGTTCAAGTGGTTCGAAAATTGAAACATGAATGAGGACGAATGTAATTTCTTTCTAAACTTTAAAGCCAATTAATCTAAGGAATTTTTTGTATATAAAATGCTTGCTATAGAACTTTCTTCCCACTGACATTAGATGTTGAATTGATTAAACCAACTTGCATTTAGTTCAGAAATACCAAAAAAAAGTTATGAGATTGAAATTTAAGTGCAAATAGAATTTTGATTAGTAAATTCTCTCGTCCTATAGAAATATTCAGATATATTCTTAAGTGGGAGATAAAAAGCATGGTTTTTTTTCATCTATGGATGATAATCGTAGGACTATGCTAACCAGTGAAAGCGATTTTGAGATCCATAAATATTGTCCTGGTAGTCGCAACTCTACTGATTTAAAAGTTCCGATCCTTTGTTTTTGTCTGGTTACATTTCTACAAGGGAATGGAATTACTAGATTGAATACACTACTGTATATGGAAACTAAAATTATTAGCTGTTTACAATGCTCTTGGGAAGTCTAAATGATAGTCTAATCAAACAAAAGCTATTTTTCGTGCTAGTAATTTAGAATGATTTGCTCATTTTGGCTCTAAGTTATTTAGAATGAAAGTCTAAATGAAGTTCTGCAAATAAGTTACTGTAGTTTGCTTATTTTTCATGATAATGCAGCTTCTTTATAGCTAGCCGTTGCTAAGCGGTCGAACTGTTTCCATGAAAATATAGATTGTTAAAGAAATCATCTGCAATGCAATTTTTGGTTTTAATGGAAAAGCACGGCATTCATTTGTCCCATTGGCAATATTTTTCTTGAAAATTTGGTCAATATTTTGTTTTCTGTTTTTGAGAAATCGCCGATTGCTTGTTCTACATCTTGAGCTAGTGTCATGAATTCCTTCTATGGAATTGAATCTGGTCCCTGCATTGCGGGATTTTCCCCAACTTCTTGGTCAGTTGTGGGAAACACCCTTATTTGTTCTTAGAGAAAAATCTTTCTTGAACTTTAGCATGGTTGGAAGCAGATCTTTCTAAAGATTTTTTATGCATTTTTGCAGAAAGTATCATAGCTGGAGCTACTGCTGGTGTTGTAGTGGAAGCAGCTCTGTACCCAATTGATACAATAAAAACTCGACTCCAGGTAAGTTGACTTAATGGTTCATTATTTAATCATTTCCTGCATTTGTTGTGAGACAAATCCTCATTCATATTTTCAAACTATATAAACTTTTGAGGGGGAAAATTATATCTTAACGCTTGATTATGAAGTTATAGGGATGGTACTCTTGAAACTTAGCCATTCTTTAACATCTTAGTCAATCCAAAATGTCTTATAGTGCTAATGCTTGGCTGTTAAATACATGTTCTACTTAATAATTTTGAATGGTGAAGCACCATGTCTTCCATATTTACTGTTTTATTACATAAAGTTGTTTTGTTTGACTGTCTATTGCTATGACTCTAGGTTTTACTTTACTGTAAATTTTTAATTTTTTTCTTTGGAATCGATTAGATAGAGAATAATATCAAGGGCAGAAGACAAAAATGGTTTTTATTTAAGGACTGTTCTTACATGATGTTTTTCCTTAGTTTTTTGTCAGCCTTCCTTCTGTATTCTCTTTAACATCTGGCCTTACTTATTTAACGTTTACTTACAACACCTGTTTCCTCTTTGAATACCTGTGATTAAGTGTCCGTAATCCACTGTTCTTATGGTAGGCAGTCCGTGGCGGAGGAAAAGTTATTTTAAAGGGTCTTTATTCTGGATTGGGTGGAAACCTTGCTGGCGTTTTGCCGTAAGTATCTTTGTTGCAAATTGTATAATCCTTGTTATTTCATGCACAAAATGATTGTTTATGTTCCACATACCATATGTACTTTGCTAGTGTAGTTCCGTTTACATTTCTTGTGAAACTAATAAATGCTTTGTCAGGTAACTTCAACTCAACAAACCTTGATTCTACAATTCCAGAAATCTTTTTTCTCCTAATGGATTCGCCACTTTTGCACTCTCAATTTTGCAGCTCTTATTAGCTCTCAACTGTTCTCACAAATTTATTTTTGGTTGACTGACATTTGGCTGATAGACTTTCTTATCCACAGGGCTTCCGCTATATTTCTTGGTGTATATGAACCTGCAAAGCAGAAATTGTTAAAAACCTTTCCTGAAAACCTGAGTGCTTTTGCTCATTTGGTAAGTTTTATTATTAACAAACAGCAAATTGGTGGATGAGTACCAGTAAAATTTGATTCACTGACTCCACAATTTTAAACTGTTTTTTTGTTCCTTTGAGGTAATTTCTTTTAGCTTCTTTCTAGTTTTTATAGAAAAAAGTACTATAGAACTATTCTTCTTTTCCAAAATCTTCTCCGCTAACTTTTCTTATCATGTTATATATATCCTTACTTGAAATGTATACACCTGCATTGGGTCCATTATTCTTATGCAAAAAGGGGATTTGGAAATATCAGAATAGAAAGAGATTCAGAGGTTGGGCTTCATGAGCTACTTTGTTAGTCCAATGTTGAACTCATCTGCTGCCAACATCTTTGCAATTTTTTTTAACTAACCTTCATGAATTGGTCTGCCCGGTACCAATATATTCCATCTAGTTGCTTAATGGGTGGTATGGAATGTAACCAGCCCACATTGCCCAATATTAGACCCTTTCTATTTAAATATTGAGGGTTATCAGATTTTGATCTACTGATGGTGCCTTTTTGGTACATAAATTGTTGAGAATTTATTCAGACTGCAGGTGCTCTTGGAGGTGCTGCTTCTTCTCTTGTTCGAGTTCCAACAGAGGTAATTAGTTTCACTTATTTCTCACCATTCAGTTCTCTCTCTCTCTCTCCAGCTCATTGGATGTTTTCCAGGTTGTTAAGCAAAGGATGCAAACTGGGCAATTTGCTTCTGCCCCTGCTGCTGTACGTCTTATTGTTGCCGAAGAGGGATTTAGAGGCCTATATGCGGTATGGAAGCTTATTTCTCATATTAAGCATCGATCTTGAGATTCAACTTGAAATGTCATTCTTAAAGTTTCAGCTATGCAAAGGTTGTGATGTTGCAAATCTATTATGAAGAGTGTTTCCTAAGAGTTGTTTGATATTGTGTTTTGATGCATTGCAATTATTGGTTTCTAAGGTTTTTTGTATCTTCTATGCATGTGATGGTTGCTTGCTGGTATCTAGTTGTTAATCTGATGTACATACAATATTCTGTGGGTTGAGCTTAGTGTGTATGTCCTGACCTTGCTTTCTAAAATTTTAGGGATATGGATCCTTCTTATTGAGGGATTTGCCGTTTGATGCAGTCCAGTTTTGCATCTATGAACAACTCCGGATAGGGTATAAGTTGGCGGTGAGCACTATTCTCTTAGAAATTCTTATAAAAAGTGGATACTTCTAAATCTCACTCAAAGTAAGTACAGTTTGCAAGAGCATCCATGTTTTAATGGAATTCCATTATTGTGTAACTGAGGACACCATCTCTCTGCAAAGCAGGGTTAAAGGTGAAGCTGGGAAACCCCAATGCTGTTCTGAGTCTGACACTGAAATATTACTCTTACTCTTAGAGCTTCAACAACTTCATTTTACTCTTCATGTTCTTTGATTTCTATCATTCTTGGTGTTGTTCAAGTCATGCATCTAGATGCGCTTAGGCAATGTGCCTTAGACAACAAATGCACCTCATATCATTTAAAACAAGGCACGTGTATCATGTGCACATCTAGTGTGCCTATGCTCCCTTTTATATTAAGCGATAGGCGCAGCTAGAAAAACCTCGTTTGATTGAAGTTCTTTTCAATGATTTTTTATTATTAATTGTACTTCAATAGTGAAAAAAGGGACAAAATCAAACTCTCTACTTCTCAGTATTTACATGTTTTGTTCATTATCATAAATATTATACATCCTGAGCTTATTTTATACGCACAAACTCTTGTACATATTGCACCTTATTTGGGCAATTCTAGCGCCTATGATCTTGCGGCCATTACAACTCTGATTATTTTGTTTCTGATCAGCATTGACTAGTTTACCCGATTAAGCATCCTTTGTCGTTTTTCACTTGTGGTGAACTATTTTGAAAAAAAATTCTCTTTACCTTTTACAGGCACAAAGAGACCTGAATGATCCTGAGAATGCCATAATTGGTGCTTTTGCTGGTAAATTGTATTAGCAGAGCAGTTGAAGATATCTATTTTATTATATTTATATTTTAAGTTGTCTTACATTTAGAGTTGGTAGTAGGCTATATTATTACTGCCAGCTTGGAGTAGATGTTGATCATAATTCCAGAAAACATACATTCTTATTTTCTTATTGCTAGAATTATGATGTTGATCATAATTCCGTATTCAGGTGCAATAACTGGAGCTGTGACGACCCCTCTTGATGTTATAAAAACTCGATTAATGGTCCAGGTCAATTACCTTTTCCTTCTTGATTGGTGAAAGGCATTCGAGTTGCATTCTACTTCAAATCTACACCTCTCTTTTTTATTCTTTCAGGGATCATCAAAGCAGTATAAAGGGATTCTTGATTGTGTAAGGACTATAATGCAAGAAGAAGGAAAGCATGCATTTTTTAAGGTTTGACATTTATTTATTCCTTTAAATCATTTATCTTTCCTTTTACTTTTCTCGTCCCTGCACCCTGCTGCGCCTAACAAAACTAACAATCTTTTCGTTAACAAACACTGAAAGATCATGTTGGAGTCAAAATATAATTGTCTTGGCGACCGGAATTATGAAAGCTGCAGCATATTCACTTCTATTTCTTTCTTGTGTTCTGCCATTCGTTTCGTGCAGGGTATGGGACCAAGGGTATTGTGGATAGGGATTGGTGGTTCTATTTTCTTCGGTGTTCTTGAAAAAACGAAGGAAATGCTGGCCAAAAAGCGCCCGGAAAATCAGAAGCCGTTTTAACTCTAGCGATATAACTTCGTCTGATGGATATGCATCATTTTTGTGTTGCCTAGGTGACTGCTATAGTATGTTGATAAATTTGTCCAAATTTTTAATCTTTTACTTTATAGAATGCTCCACTTAATTTTTTTTTGAAGTGCTATGCAGTGACCCTATCTTTTTCACTTCTGATTGTCATTTTGATTAGAGTAATATAATTCTATCTTGACCTTTTTAGAAAGAAGATGAATCCTACCTTGACCTTTTTAAACTAGGGTTTTCTTGCCTTTCACGCGCTTTGCTCCTCTCGTTCTCATCCATGATTGCTTACGTGACCTATGCTTTAGCCCTCATTCCTGTTGTCTGGTCGATGGTTTTCAGGGACGCGTGTCACGTCCTGATAGGTGATCCCTTATGACGTAAATTTGGTTTTTTTTTTCTTTTTTAGTTTCTTCTAATTTAATTTAAATAATTAAATATAAACAAAGTTTGAGATATACAAATATACCAAAATAAAATCCTTAAATCTTATAACAGAATAAATAAATAAATATCCATCTCGGTATATGTAATAGCAAATACTCCTATGGTTCTATATAAGAAAATTTATTTGTTATACAAATCTATTTATTTTAACGATATGTGTCATGTTTAGTGTTTAGGTTTTGAGATTTAAAATTTAGCATTTTAGGATTTAGATTTCAGTAGTTTACCTTTAATACAAAAACAGTAAAATCTATTTTCGTATGTCATGGGATAAGGAGAGGTAGATAATAGGTTGTTCTAACACCAGATTAAGAGTAACTTTTATGAAAACCTCCGATAATAAAAAAATTAAAAATAAATATAAAATACAATACATATGTAAATAAATAAATGAATACATAGTAGTTTGTTTACCTTTAATATATATATATATATAGAAGGAAAGAAAAAAAAAACAAGCCAATTAAAAAAAGCTGCGCTTCGAAGTATCTAGACAAGCTCTCACCGAATCTCCGCTCCTCTTGTCACATGGATGCGATGTATTCATGTATGCATTCGTGGATGGGTAATGGGGGAATAAAACAAAATGGCATTTGGCAATCATAACATGTGCTGGGACCCACAAGATAAAAGAAGGCGGGCAAGGCAGAGTGGGAATAAGAGCACGCTATTCTGCCACGTGTATAGATCTATTGCTTTGTCCTCATTGGCTGGTTCGGGTTTGGTTTGATCTGATTGAGGAACACAAAAATATCTAGAGCTGGTCCGTCTGGCAGCCAGATATTTTCGGATCTGCCCGTTGAAGCTGCCCCTTAAATTTTCCACCACCGAAACATTCACGTGGCTTATTCCTAATGGTCCGATGGTTTCGGGCAGTATCTACACTAGAGAGCGTTTGATTTTGAGGCCCCACCTTCGATGGAATCTGAATTCTGAAGTATCTGATTTGCTTTGGCCTTTGCCTCATCTTTTATCTATCTAAATCAGTGAATACAACTCGGTAATTCGGTTTTATTCTACTCAACTCAACTTGATTGTTTTCTTTTTCATTTTATAGCTAGTGATGCAATGCACAAAGTGCATCTTTCTACCTCCATGTTGATCGACTCCCACAACAAAGAACTTATATTTGAAAACGAAATATTATAATGCAAATATAAAATAAAAAATTAGTTGTAATAGGCTTTTTTTAATTGAAATATCATCATCAAAAAACATTTTTTGAATTAATACTCATTATAGATTAATTCTTAGATTGATATATTTTTGATAAAGGCGTATCATATAAGATGTGTTTTTTTATCGTTTTTACTTACGTGACATGAAATCAGTTAAAGTTTTTAAAGATTAAACCAAATGAAAGAAATGTAAAAAGGGTAAAAATTAAAAATTATATGAATTATGTATATAAAGAAAATACATGTAGTATGTGTCAAATACACGTATTTGCACAAACACGAACCAAACAACGACAACAACACACGTGCATGGATAAATTATACAATGATGTTATGTAAATAATTATTTTAATAAAAGTTAAATAAGATTAAAACTTTATTATATAATATTTAAAATAAAATTTATACAAAACATTACATATTTGATAAAAGTTTATATATTATTTTATATTTTTAAATAAAATCATAATGAATGTGAAATTACCGTATAAAGCGAATGCAATGGATCAGTGTCAAGTGGGCATTCAATTGGGCAATGCTTTAAATTCATTAGCAAAAGGAGGAATAAAGTCCAAAAGTGGTACCTATCATATTAACTAGTTGGTTTAAGAATTATTGCTTAGATGAAAATTTATATTATTGATCCATCTAACAATTTATTAATTTATAAATGATTGTAACACATGATTATTCGTATATGTTTTATGATTTAGGGTTTAAAATTTAGTATTTATAAATTATTGTAACACAAGATTATTCGTAGAGGTTTTATGCTGTTAACTTTTTCCTCTTTTTTCCCGTTTGCCTCTTGTTTTTATGATTCTAACAGTTCCTCATCGATTGCATGTCGATACTCTAATGTCATGATGTTCCATGACAAGTACGGTGTAAGAGAGTGTTTTAGGCTCTTTAAGTCGTGTTTTGGTTCGGCTTGTTCTTAGCAGCTTAGTATGCTTTTGAAAGGTGTGGTTAAAAAGTACTTTTTTGAGAGGTACGTTTGGATTATTTGATGGAGTTTAAAAGTTTTTGAAAACGTAAATGATTATTTTAGATATGATGTTATAAATTAAAAATATCTTTTAAATACTTTTTAAATTATTTAATATTATAATATATAAAATATATCAACTTAAATTTGATAATATATACAAATCTTCTCGTTAATTAATAAACAAAATTTAATAATTGTACGTTATTCTATGAAAATATATAAAATTTAATTTTTTATAAGAAATTTTTACTTGAAAAAACATAAAATTTTAAATTCATAAATAATTTATTATAATTATGTATTGATAAAAAGTTACAAGTCTATAAACTATAAAAATAAACACATCATATGATATGATAAAGGAATGTTAAAATTGCAATTTGACCCCAAAAACTACTTTTCTAAATGCAAAAGCTATAAATTTTAGCTTCTGGGTTTAAGCTTAAAAGCATTTTTAAAAAAAAATAATTCTGATAAAAAATTTCGAACTACTTTTAGAAGATGTTCAACGTTACTTAGAGATTAAAAAATGCTTTTGACCTACATGTTTTATTCAACCCTTAAATTATTGTTGATTTGTCAAAGGTCAACTACATGTTTGAAAAAGTTAAAATGATCATGGTTAATGATAAATCAGTTTAATGCATGGGTACTTTGAGGTTTTAGGCTCGAAATTTACATTGTATAAATATTATGCATATATTATCAGTTCAAACGTATTATAATTTAATTTTTATTATCAGCATGTTTCTTACATTGTAATTATTTTTTTAAATTAATAATTGATATCCGATTTATTGATTGATTAATCGATTTGTTTCATTCACAAACATAAGGGTTAGAACCCTTAACCCTAATAAAGGAATATAATATATCATATTGATTGAAACTGACTATAATAATATGAATTTATTAGTTTCACTTATGACTTAAAAAATTTAAGTAAATCGTTTTTATTTTTAAATTTAAAATAGTATTTTTTTAACCCTTAAATCCTTTCTCTTCATCACAAAACATATTACGTATAGAATTTATGAACAAAAATATGTCCCTAATCCTAAACGAATCACTTAGATGATTAAGAAATGTATGTAATGAAATAATTTTATAAAAGTCAAAGAACAAATTCAAATCAATTTTAGCCTATCTCTACTAAAAGTAAAGTAAAATTTAAAAATTAGGGAAGTGTGTAAAAGATAAAATAAAGTTGACCAATTATTTTATATTTAAAATAAAATTGTATTATAGAATAAATATTTTTTTTGAAATTTAATGGTTTGGATACTTTATAGGGATGATGAGGGAGGGTGATTGATATAAATTTTAAATTATCATATATTTTATATTTTTTAATATAAATTTAATCGATAATTTATTTTAACTATATAAAATTTTATAAATTCGTATCTCCTAAAATTTTATATATTGACATTGACATAAAATTTTATAATGGTCTCATGCACCTTTCAGCTGATGAAATATAGTAATTATATTGAATTATTATAATTTATATGCTATGATGTTATAAAATAATCTGGGTGCACTTCCCACTTAATGAGTGGAGTGATCATTTTCTCCCCGTGCTTTTAGCATTGGAAGAAAGTCAACTAGTGCGTTTCTAACTTAGTAACTTACTAGTAAATTTTGAAAGATTTTAGGAGTAAAAATATAAAATTGTAATTGAGATTTACAGATTTATCGAGAAATATAAAATTGTTAATATCAGATTTAATATATTAATTTGATAAAACTTAACGAGAGGATATCTATTATGATAATTGGAATTTTATGGATATTATATTTAGAATTAAACGTTTATATAATTTTATATTAATTAATTTTTCATCAAAATATAATATTTTATTTAGTTTTTTTAATCAAATACTAATCAAATAAGTACGAGGAGAAATAAACAAAATAATTGAGAAATATTAGAACGAATTAATTAAAATGATTTTATAATCGGGAGAGAAAAAATAATTGAGAGGAAAACAAACAAGTAGGGCTCCAATGGCAGACGTACAGCACAACAAGACACCTCACCAAACCCTCCCAAAATATCTTCCGACCAAACTATTTTAAAAATCAAAGCTTTCAACCAAAATATTATAATAATTTAAAGTCGAACAATCCACCGCCATTATCTTTTTATTTTATATTTTTTAATCTTCCGACTTCAACACGTGGAAAGGCTAACAAAACCTCGGGGCCTGCCTTGTCCCTTCTCTTTTAATTTAATTAAACCTCTTTTTAATCGTTATTGTTATTATATATGTATATATATGCATGTATGTATGTATGATGATGTCTCATGCTTGGATGGTGACATGACATAGGAGTCTGCGAGACAAGAGGAAAATATCATGCCAAGTCATCAGCATTCTTAAGTGAACGCCCTTGTAAAGATCTCATCTAAATCTCTCTCTCTCTCTCTCTCTCAAACACACACACACACCAAAAGCTGTACCACTCTTTCAAATTTTCCAAAAAATTAGATATTTTCTCCTTTCAATTTACTGTCATATTTGTCTAAAACAGAGCGTTAAATCTAAATTAATTCCGGGAAAAAAAGAAACTCAGGTATTTACGGACTTTCCAAAATTGGAAATTTTCGTTCTGTTTATGCATTTTTACAATATTTTTAGAATTGATCTTGGGATCTATCTTAGTTTTCCTTTTTGTTGATTTAGTGTGTTTTTCATTAATCTTTTCATTTTTATCTTAAAATAACAATTGGCTTTTACCTTATTTTCTTCTATTATTTGTAAGTTTGAGGATTTTATTCTCTTTTTTTTAAGTACTAACCATCAAGTTCTTGTTTTTATCTGAATCTTTAGGTAGGTGTATCGTATAGACGATGTTCTTAGCTTTCGTATTAATCCATGTTCAATTGATTTTATTTTTTTCATATTTTCAAAATAAAATATTATGTATATATTTTAAAAATCTGTTTATTGTTTTTCACTTTGTTCTGTATAGTTGCAAAATCTGAATATGAGTTAAACTATAGTTGTATTACAAGGCTTTAGATAGTTAAAAGCTGAAACTTTCAGGAGACTAATATACTGTTGTAAAATTCCAGTCCTTCTTAGAGAGAGATGCAATAGTTTCTCTTGTTGAAATTTTCTACAAGTTAAATTGTTTTCTATTTTCTTATATTGACATATATATTTGGGGAATCTGAGGGTTGCACAGGGTTTTGATGTTGAATTACGAAATCTTGATTCTTGACTGGTAGCAGTTGCAGAGTGGAAAGCATAGGTTCTGGAGATTGATTCAAAAGAGTACCTTTGGAGGTTACGTCTTGTTTAGTCTAAATGGCTAATCCATCTAAGAGGTGGATTGATGGTCTTCGGTTTTCATCACTGTTCTGGTCACCACCACAAGACCCTCAAGAACGAAAGGTACGGCGTCGTCCTCATCCTGTGCACGAACCTTTCTGGATTATTAGATACTTTTTGCATCTTTAAATCATTTTAATCGCCTCCTTGGTTTACCTGAAAACTTAATTAGTGAAATAGGGTGCAGAAGTTGAATATGTTACTGGATGTTAGCCGTAGTAGATATTGAGTGGAACATGCGTTCTGATATGGTACAATTTGAAGCAAAGAGAGGAAAATTAGTTCCTATGACTGCAAGGAAGAAAGCCAGTTTGCAATCTCGTTTATTCTTATTAGATTTTTAAAAGATATATTTAAGTGAAATTGCATACAATTTAGAACTAATATGAATCGAATTCTGAAATGAGCAGATAAGCTCTGTCTATTACTACTTTAATTCATAGGAAAGTTTGCTGCTTAAAATTCCTGGCATGGTTGAGGCAGATACTCGTGTCATTTTACAAATCCATCACGTGTAAGACATTGTATTTGCATTCAGATGTGGTTTGAGTTTGGGTCATTTGGTGTCCAGGTTATTGGCTTCACAAGTTTATTCTGGTTGGACATGTCTAAAAGCCATACATCATGTTATCATATCAAGATTCTTGTAGACCTCTTAACTAGGATAAAAAGTTCATTTTGGAGATAGTGATCTATCGAACAAGGAATATAACTTGAAATAGAATTGAAGGATTGTGCTAGTGGTATTTAAAGAGTATGATAGAATTGGCTTTACAGTTGGAAGAGGTTGACGATCTATGAATATTTTTGCTATATAAAGTTTTTTTTGAAATGTGCTTGAGGGATCATTACAAAGTTCATGTACATAAAACGTCATTTTGGTTGAATCATATCACTTGAAAAGCAAGCATGAATGTGTTTTTAAATTGTGTTGATCAATCCATGTCTTTCTATTCCTTTCAATTTACATGTTTATCTCTTGCTAATATAAGTTCATATGCTTTATTATGTTCCCCCTTGCTTAGATTCAAATTACTGCTTATGTTGAGTATTTCGGGCAATTTACATCAGAACAGTTCCCTGAGGATATTGCTGAGGTATGTTTGTTTTGTACAACCATTTCACCCTTGCAGACTGTGAAGGAAAATATGCTTAACTAATTTGTTTAGTATCAATTTTTCAACGGAGGAAAGTGTTTGATGGTTAAGGATTTATATATCTAACAGAATTTTGTTGTTCTTGTAATAGCTTATTCGCAGCCGCTATCCATCGAAGGAGCAACGCCTTTTTGATGACGTTCTTGGTACTGGCTCTTTCTTCTTCTGCGCTATTGTTCAATCCATAATGATTAAACCTTTAAATTAATATACTGAAAAGATATTACTTATGGTATGTGATTGAGAATGATCAATACTTTAAAACGATTGGTTTGCAGCAACTTTTGTCCTTCATCATCCAGAACATGGGCATGCGGTTGTTCTTCCAATAATTTCAGGCATCATTGATGGTACGCTGGTGTATGATAAAAGTACCTCTCCTTTTGCGTCATTCATCTCCTTAGTCTGCCCAAGTAGTGAGGTATTATACTTAAGTTTTTCATTGAACAAAGAAGATATTTGCTTCACAAACTGCTTTTTATTTTTTCCTCCTGTTTTTCCTTTTAGATATTAGGTTTGCAATGCTCTTTTTATCTACTTTTTTTTCTCCCCACCAAATAAGGAATCATTGAGGCTGACCGAGAACATATCTATTGCATTTGTCTTTTTTCACAGAATGAGTATTCTGAACAGTGGGCTCTAGCATGTGGAGAGATCTTGCGAATTCTGACTCATTACAACCGCCCGATATATAAAATGGAACCACAAAATAGTGAACTAGATAGGAGCCATAGCAGCAGCCAAGCCACGACAAGTGAACCCATAGATGGGGAACCTTCCTTTCATATACCTTTGATGCAACAGGAGAGGAAGCCTTTAAGACCTTTGTCTCCTTGGATTACTGATATATTGCTTGCAGCACCTTTGGGTATCAGAAGTGATTACTTCCGTTGGTGAGTGCCTTTACTATAGTTTTATATTGTCTTTTCCTTTGGTTAGTGCCTTCTCGATTTTTGAAAATATTTTTGAACTCTTTATTAATTTTATAGTGCAAGTGATGGGTGTGTTTGAGCCTCTTAGGTTATTAAAAGTAAGGAAAAGTGTATGAAAATTTGCTTTTTTTTTAGGATAAAATATAAAAGAAATTATATTTAACTAAATTATGTTATAAAATTTTTAAGACTATTTGCATGGCGGTATCTTTTTTCGGACACTTTTTATCGAACTCTGCGAATCCAAAAGTTTCAGAAAATAGCAAGTGTGACAGTTAGATACGTACTGATATGAGATACCTGTACCAGAGTCCATGAAACATAGCCAATAAGTTGGCAGTTCATTCTGGTAAATTTCTGTTGTGATGATTTATGCTCCAAAAAATTGAAAAAGGCATGTTGAAAGTTGAAAATATTTCTTATGAGAATTGTTGGTATATCCTTGGTCTGCAATTATTACAACAACTCCACTGTCACAAATGCTTGAAACAGGTTAATCATTGGAATTATCCTAAGGATTTGTTGAGAAAGAAGTATCATTTTTTTGTGGATAGGAGCTGCTAATTTCACTTTTCATAATTTTTTCAACCAGGATATAATCAAACCACTTGTTTATTATATTTTAAAATACGGATGTTGGGTGACTTGTTGATTTAAATTTTTGTTTACTGGTAGATACATATATACAGATAAGCATCTTGGATACATTTCCCATTGTCTACCTTGGCTATCTTTCCCTTTTGTCGATGCTACTGGTTGTTCACATTCTATAGCATGCATTGCATTTCACAAGCATTATGATTGGTTCCAAATGTGAGCATTTCTCTTAGGACTGGTTGTAGGTCTTCTACTTTCTCCTCTAAGCTTTTTGCCTAGACTTGAATAGTGGGCTGAGGACTTTTATTTGCTCATCTACAGAAGATATGCTTATGAGTTTTAAGGTCAATCCTAAGTAATTACATAGTAGTTGAATTTATCATATAACTGTCATCGACTTTAAGTTCCCTTGTGTGATTCATCCTGTGAGTAGACCTCACCGCCTAGAACTCTATGTGCCTATTTCTGAAGCTGACTGGGATTAAATGTTAACAGGTGCAGTGGTGTTATGGGAAAATATGCAGCTGGGGACCTCAAGCCACCTACTACTGGTTAGTTTGATATTTTGTGCTCGAGTATATGACATGATTATAACGCTGATGTGACCTGTAAGATGCAAGTTTGTTTTTAAAATATTAAAATCTTCTAGATTTTATCATAATAGACTAAACAAATATATGAGCAATAGATGAAGGTATCAGTAAATAAGTCGAGCCTTCAATTATTAAGTTGAAAAAGTTCTAACAGATTGAATAATTAGAACAGAGAGAAATACCAGATTAAGGCAAAACATAAAAGTAATACACACTTCTCTGCATATCATACATATTACATATATATGTTGCGAAAATCATCAATAAGAACAAGAATATGGATGTTTAATAGCTATGGCCAATCAAAATTTGGGTACAAGTGATAGGATATATCTCTCACTTCTTAATCGATCTAATATTACTTTACTGCAACTGATTTTATGTACTATATTTGTGGAGGGGCTCATCGAAAGAAATCCGTTTTCTAGAGAAGATGTGGTTTAGAAAATTCTTTCAAGGCAGTAAGGGATTATATTCACTTTTTTCATTAGGATTGATTTGCATGTGACCGGTTGATAAGTTGAAAAATTTTGTTCTCTCTTTGTTGGCAGTAAATACATTGATGCCAAGCCTGGGCAACATTCTGTTGTAAACTGACTCGAAATAAATATTCTTATTCCAATAGAAAAACTTGTGCAAGGAAAGCTTATTTTGATGTGCTTATTGCTTAGTAGGATCTTGTTTATGCTAATTTTTATTTGCGAACCGTGTATATTTCCTGCCTTATTTTGTCACCTTGAGGCTTAAGGCATAAGTAAGCGTTCATTGTGTGGTAAAATTATCATGGGAATGTCATAGTGGCCTTACTAGTTACTGTCTTGTTTTGATGTTTCCCATTTAATAATTTGATGAGGGAAATACTGAAATAGGCCCGTAATTAGTGAATGCGCCTGTGTATGTATATCAAGATAAGAAAATAGAAATGGCCATAAGTGATTTTTTTCCTAACCACAAATAATAAGATATTTTAGACCTGAGGACTCATCAATTGACCACCATTTTCCACAGCTTCTTCTCGTGGATCTGGAAAGCATCCGCAGCTCATGCCATCAACTCCAAGATGGGCTGTTGCAAATGGTGCTGGTGTCATTTTAAGTGTATGTGATGAAGAGGTTGCACGCTATGAGACTGCTAGTTTAACGGCTGCTGCGGTCCCTGCTCTTCTACTTCCTCCCCCAACAACAGCTTTGGATGAGCATCTAGTTGCTGGGCTACCAGCTCTTGAACCATATGCACGTTTGTTTCATCGGTAAATTGTTCAACCTTTTCTCTTGAACAACATTGCTCAAAGGTTTTCGTTCTATACTACACATTTTTCCTTGTACCCTGTGAACCAAGCAAAGCACTTCCAAATTTATATCAGAAATGTGGATTTTTGAGTAATAGTTTCTTTGTGTTCTTCTGAGGAGGGGAGGAGTGGGTTACATGGAAACTGCAGTGTTAGCATGCTGTTGTATATGTCTTCGACCCAAATTGCCTTCAACATGGTTTCTTAAAAATCCTTTTTGACTTCT